CTCCATTATGGTTATAACCTAAGGACTATCTGTATATAAACAAGGAGCAAACCCCACAGTCACTAGCACTGATAGTGTTAGCTAGTCAGGCAATGAAATGTCTGTAAGCAAGCATTCAAACTCAGCAGACATCAAAGACTCCCCAATTCAACCCTGAGCATAAGGTACTTATATGGTGTAAGTACCTTAAGATATATGTATCTTTTATATTAGAACCTTATATAGTGATCTCCAATTTTGGAGCTACATATTGAACAATTTGCCTCATTAGCTTTTTTTTTTTTAAGTTTAAAGCTTCCAAATTAACTCCCAAGAACTCGAAAATTTTTAGATGTTCTTGTTCTGAAAACCCCAGTTTGTGATTCAAACATAGGAAAACACATTTATATTAAAATTTGAATTAAATCAGCTCTAAAAATCTTTCTTCTGTTTATGTAAGGAACCAGTGACGTTCCTACTGAAGAGTCCAGGAAAGAGGAGGTTCTTCTCAATCAAGGCCACCTACAAATACCTTCTATTTCTAGCAGAGATAATAAAGCACTTCCTCCCAAACCAGAACCAGAGTCGAATCACCACAAGCAAATTAGAAATGTACTGGGAGAAGCTTCAGTAGAAAGCCAGATTAGCAAATTCTCAGAACTCATAGGCCACCAAAATGTCAACGCAGCAAACGAAGCTGAAGAAATTGAACGAGAGGAACTCTTAAATGATGACTTGCAGCATGATGACCAGGAAACTAATAAAAAGGGTTAGTATAAGATTGCTTTCTCTGTTTTGTATTTGGGTTGCAGTATTTGAGGAAATGGAATAATTGATTTAAGGTTTATAGAATTGTTATGTTGTTATAGATGGCACTGATTGTAAATTGTGTAATTTGATTTGTTACATGGTCCGAAGAAAACCAGAGTGCATGGTTTCATTCTGCTTGATCAAATTGTTGTATGTTTGATTCTGGCTTACAAGGTAAAGCTAGAGGTTCCCCTTGAACATATGTGCTAGTCGATCCCGATTCTAGGGGGCAGTGCTCATCTCAATTTCAAAGCCCAAAAGCCAGTCTGAAGACATCTCCGTGGTCATGTGGACAGCATGACTAAACACCAAAGGTGCATGGAGTGCTGTTACCTTCCCACCAAAGTAGTCCCTATTTTTCTACTTGCATTTTTATGTGCTTTCAAACTGGCAGAAGCTGGGACAAGTAACGGGAGCTCACTCCGTTACGTGGCACTAGGATTAGAAACGCTGAACTGCTGACCTTTCTGATTGACAAGCTCAGCGTCTTTTAGCCACTGAGCCACCCATCCTCTAGGTTTCATTCTGCTTGATCAAACTGTTGTATGTTTGATTCTGGCTTAAGTGTGATGTAAATCCATTTATTATAAGAATTTGGCAAGCCATAGTTAAGCACAATATGGAAATATGGAAATATGGAAACATGATTTATGATTTCATGATGCATATGTTTAATTACATTATTAGTGCATTTTTTCTCTTAATATCTATTGTGCAGTAAAACTTGTCTTTGCAATAAAAGCAGAAGAGATCTTTTCAATTTGCATGAAGTTTGCATGCATGAAGTTATTGTTTGACTTGTTTTCACAGGTGAACTTGAAATCAAAAGAGTGGATCAGGATAATAAAGGGGCCGATTACAACTTAGATACAAATGAGGCAGAATCTGAAACAGATAAGCAGGCTGCTCTCATTGGCCAGCAAAATAGCTTCAATGGTAATTTTTTGTAATTTCCATGTTCTGGCATACAAAGTTTGCATTATAATTTGTTTCACTTTTAATTAATGAATTTGCAAATCTTGTCTGGAAGAAAGGCTTTACAAATGGAAGTTTTCCACAATGGGGAATGTGAATGATGATTCCCAAGTAAGAGTAATATGAGTAAAATAAAAATAATGACTTAATTACTCCAATTTAATTATTTTTCCTCCTTTTTTTTAGTTCAAAATCTTGACGATCCCAAAATGGAAAATCGCTTATTTAAGCTCAAAGGAACTCAACAGCAGAAATTGTGAACAGCAGTTTTAGTCTTCGACACTTGCAAAACTATTTTAGCAAGTCCACTCAAAACTTTTACAAAAATCAGGGGATTTAAACCTGTTCTGATTCCTCTCCCATCAGGAAGATGATCTGCAGATTTAATAGGCTGGTTTTACATCTAGGAACTAGAGTATTCCAGTGTTGCAGGGTGGAAATAAGCCCCTGAAAATATATGAAATCAACCTGTTACTCAGCTACCAGGTATAGTTTCATTTTTGAATCATTACAATACCTACTACCTTAGATACAAATTGTCTTGCTCTAGAAACTGAGAATATTGCACAGACTGCCACTTGAGAGATACTGTTCGTCCTGCTTCTGTTCATATCTCTTCCAACATCATTATTCTCCGTTTACAAACCAAACTTGGAAAGTCAGTTTTTATACTTCTTTTCTAGAGGAGCTTCCTTCAGAAAGAAAATACCCTAAGGAACTTATTAAACTCCTTTAAGTGCTTTGTTTTGAGGGGCCTGTCTAGTACAGTGGGATAGGATATCAAATAAATGTGCATAAAAGTGAGTTACATATCTACAACATTTTTATTCAAACACTTTTCTTTTTTGAATTGAGGCATGATTTAAGTATTAACCAAATGCCGGGGATTTCCTGCATTTGTGTAAAACAGGCCTTATACATTTCGGAATTCTAATATACTAGAATAGCGAGCTATGTACCTTAATTTGTACATGAAAAAAATGAACCCCAAATGTTTTGCTGCTTCATACCATATCTTATTTTGGTGTAAATAAAAGAACTGCAATATCATTTAGGGCATGATGCCGATTTGCTGTCAACACTGATTATAGCACTTTAGCCCTGTTGAAGAGAATTAGAATAGAGTAAGTGCAATACGATTATTTTGTACGACAAAGAGAAGATTTACAGATTATAGTATTTTGTTAAATACAAATACTGGGTTTATTTTGATTAAGTTCTTGATTATAAAATAAGTGGGTCCTCAAGAGTCTTATAATTTGGTTGTAAGGTTACTATCAATAAAATACTCTACTCATTCAGTGTCCTGTAATGTGTGTTTTGTTTCTTAGTCTTTAATTATACTTGTTAATCTGTCAAAAATGTTAATTTTCATTGGCAAAAACTTAACGTTACTTTTTCATAGATCTATTTGCATAGGTTAAAATGATCTCACTAAAGGTAATTCTTGGTATCAATAAAGGAGAATATTTATAGCTCAGGGTTGAAATCCTTGAGATCCCTGGTGCTCTTTCACCTTGGTTATTTTTTGCAGATTTCATTACCCAAATTAATTCATTTATCCATACTAAGTAATATCATCAGTGCTAGGTGATCCTTGGGTTATGACCATTCATTCAACAATCAAAGTGTTCATGGGTGCTGGTTCTCAAAACTGGTTGTCATTAAAAAACTTAATATGTAAAAAGTGGTTGTCACAATATATCCAAGGCAATATGATTGCAATTTAGGCCTTTGGCACATGGTTCAAAATTTTGATGGCTGCAGTGTGCCGTGGTCACATGATCACAATTTGTGACTTTCTCTGCCAGCTTTTGACGGGTAAAATCAGTGGGAAAGCTAGCAGGTCATAAGTTGCTCCTGCTGCTTTTTCACTTAACAGCACTCCATAGCACCCATTTGTGGCCCCTGCCCTTGGCATCCATCCACCTGTAGGTCATGCCCATCAGCCTGCCCATGTCATGTTCATGGGAGGTTCTTGTTTAATGACCTGCATGGTCCTAGAATTACAATGGCAACTGAGCTACTGGGATTGTTAAGCGATGTGATCATGTGATGTCGCGCTTTATAACCACATTGTTTAGTGATGGAAATTCCAGTCGCAATTGCTGTTGTAACCTGAGGAGTACCTGTAGCTCTAATGTGTGAACAAACCCTCCCCTCTAAAATGCATTTGCTTCAAGTTAGAGATTGCAGTTAGCTGACTCACTAGAAAGTAATCCCAAGGCGGACTTGTTTTATAAGGAAACGGATGTTTACATGTACAATGGAAATAAAGTCTGTGCACCCATTAAAATGCCAGGTTTTTGAGATGTTAAAAATCAGAGCAAGAAAAATCACCTCAGAATTTTTTTTACCATCTTTAATAGAATCTATAAGCCTGTGATGGCAAAACTATGGCACGCGTTCCGCAGGTAGCACATGGAGCCATTTGTTAGGGCACATGAGGCGTTGCCCTGTCAGCTCCAGCGCGCATGCATGTGCTGGCCAGCTGACTTCGGCCTTCATTTCCGGCCGTTTTTCGCCCTCTGGAGGCTTCCCTGAAGTCTCCGGAGGGCAAAAAATAACACAATGCGCAAACTCAATGTTCGGGAACTAACTTCCAGGTTGCCCGTAGGACTGTCAGGGAAGCCTCTGGAGGGCCTCCAAGGGGAGGGGCAGGGAGGCTGTTTTTGTCCTCCCCAGGCTCCTAGAAAGCCTCTGGAGTCTGGGGAGGGCGAAAAACAGGTCTTATCACGTGCCAAAACTGGGAGGGTCACCTGCACATGCACGGGGGAGTCACGTGCATAGAATTATGGCAAACGATGGCAAAAATGTTAGCCATCACTGGTATAAGCTGTACAATTCAATTGAAAAANAACACATCAGACAGGCAACGTTAGAAATATCTCAAATTGGGCTCCTGTGATTTGCTGATTAGAATTATCCTCAACGCTGGGTCTTGTATCTGGAAAAAGCAGCGGGAAATGCAGATTTCCTTGGGGACAGAAGAGATCAGGGATCTGAATCATATATTAAAAAAAAAACCCAATCCACCAGGATCATTTACTGGGTAGAACTCACCGGAAGTATTCAATCGTTTTCAAGAATGGTCAAATAGCTATTCTCTCTGCAGAGGTAGTCCTTGACTTATAACCATTCCTTTAGAACTGTTTAAAGTTACAGTGGCATTGAAAGATGGACTCACAATCAGTCCTTGCACTTATGACTGTCATGGCCTCCCCATCGTCACACGATCAAAATTTGAGCACTTGGCAACCGACAGGCAGCGCCCGCCCACCCATTTCTCCCCCCGTTAATAACCCATGCATTTGTTTAATGACTGCATTTCGCTGAGTGGCCATTACCTCAACCAAATCCATGTCTTTCAAAGAGAGGCCAGCTTTCTTGAGGGCTTCAGTAACAGCAGGCACGGGACCTATGTCAGAAACATACAGTACATGTGTAAGTGAAAAATGGAGGGTGGCCCATTCCTGAACAGAATAACGGAGTTGGAAGGGACCTCAGAGGTCTTCTAGTCCAACCCCCTACTCATGCAGGAAACCATTCTCTAGCCTCCAGGCTGGATCTCCAAAAGCTATCAGTAAAGCTATGCTTTACTGAACCAAGGAAAGATGTCTCTTATGGGAAATGTAGTAATAGGACTTATATACCTGTTTTCATAAAATATCAAATGTGTGGAACTTACAAAATTAAGTTGACAAAGAAAATCAATATAGCTGAAAGCAAAGGATTATTTGAAGGATCTGAGAGCTTGTTGTTGTTGTTGGTTGCGAAATTGTGTCCGACTCCATCCAGCTACCACATTCTCTGCCGTTCCTTTCTTCTTTTGCCCTCAATTGTTCCCAGCATGAGGCTCTTCTCCAGTGAGTCCTTCCTTCTTTTTAGGTGGCCAAAGTACTTGAGTTTCCTCTTCAGGATCTGGCCTTCTAAAGAGCAGTCAGGGTTGATCTCCTCTAGGATTGACTGGTTTGATCGCCTTGCAGTCCAAGGGACTTGCAGGAATCTTCTCCAACACCAGATTTCAAAGGCCTCCATTCTTTGGTGCTCAGCCTTCCTTATGGTCCAACTTTCACAGCCATACATTGCAACTGGGAAAACCATAACCTTCACTATACGCACTTTTGTTGGCAAGGTGATGTCTCTGCTTTTTAGTATGCTGTCTAGAATTGCCATAGCTTTCCTCCCTAGGAGCAAGTGTCTTTTAATTTCTTGGCTAAGAGCTACTAGGACTTAATTTCCTTTTGTGCAAAACAAAAGAATAAACTTGATTGAAATCACACACACACACACATACCCTAGAATTTCTGCTTCAGTCTTAAGATGCCTCTGTCTGGTTATTTAGGGGCTGAAACTACAGAAACTACCTGAGCTCTTCTCCCATACCTGCACCAATAAGAAGGGGGGGGGGAAACCAACGAGAGAGCCCAGAATTTTGCATTTTGTCCAGCTGACCTACTTCCTAAGACCTTTTCACAACTTAATATTTCCTGATCAATTGATAACAAAAGAGACCTCCAAATAATCTGCTTAACCAAAACTAGCAGACTTCAGATAATGTTCTGTTCGCAATTTGCAACATCAGAGAGGAATTTTCACATCCTTGAAAAAGCATTTTCATCACCCTTTGAATATAAGCCACTGGGCAGCATCTGGAATCTACCAGTAAAAACTGATCACTGGTGTTATAATATCACCTATGTATTCATGATTGAATTCTTCAAAATTCTTTTTTATGGTATTTGAGTCCCCAATTAAACTATATAAAAGGTAAATGTTCCCCTTGCATCTATGTGCTAGTCATTCCTGACTCTAGGGGGCGGTGCTCATCTCCATTTCAAAGCCGAAAAGCCCACGCTGACTGAAGACATCTCGGTGGTCATGTGGCCGGCATGACTAAATGCCGAAGGCGCACGGAACGCTGTTACTTTCCCACCAAAGGTGGTCCCTATTTTTCCACTTGCAGTTTTACGTGCTTTCGAACTGCTAGGTTGGCAGAAGCTGGGACAAGTAACGGGAGCTCACTCCGCTCCGCTACACGGCGCTAGGGATTCAAATTGCTAATCTTTCTTATTGACAAACTCAGCATCTTAGCCACTGAGCCACTACGTCCCTTAAAACTATATTAAAGATATACAAACATCAGTAAGGGCATTCTTTTCCTGCACAGCAATAACCTACTCTTTTATTAACCTTTTTTCCTGACGTAATATTTTGTTTACTTATTTGGATGAAACTCTAAACAAAGGGGGGGGGGGAATCAAAGGGCATCTGGCTGTATCCACTTCCAAATAAACCAGACCAGTGGTGGGATTCAGCCAGTTCGCACCTATTCGGGAGAACCGGTTGTTAACTTTCTAAGCAGTTCGGAGAATCGGTTGTTGGAAGAAATCTCCTTTTGGTTTTTTCCCACTTTTACAGGGCTAATCCTGTAAGGAAGGCAGGAAGGAAACATTCTGGTGTTGTTTCTACCCTAATTGTTATTGCCCTGCTCACCGAAACTGCCTCTCTGGTTAACCCTTATTACATTGTCACAGCTAAAGCAAAGCACCCATCGACGTGAGTGACTTTGAGTTGGCTATGCCCACATGGTCACATGACCACTAAGCCCCACCTACCCAGTTGGTCATTAGGACAGAGAACCGATTGTTAAATTATTTGAATCCCACCACTGAACCAGACCAACAGAAGAGAATATCTACAGCTCAGAATTGAACTGAGGAGGCCTTGGTGCCGTCTGAGGTTAGTTGTTTACTTGCATACATCTGTAAGTAAACAACCAGGCTCAGAGAGCACCAAGGACTCCACAAAACTAGTCCCGCCTTCTTGCTGTGGGCTGCAACTGGAGAATTACAAGATCTTTTATGCATGGGATGGGAAGAAATCTTACTGATCAGTAGGAAAGCATCTCTGTAGTCACTTACCAATGCCCATGATGTTAGGATCACACCCTGCTGCGTGATAACTAACAATTCTAGCCAAAGGAGTGAGGTTGTGCTTTTTTACGGCATCTTCGCTTGCTAGGATCACGGCGCCTGCCCCATCGCTCACCCCCTACAAGAGAAGAACACCAGGCATTAAGGCTGGGCAAAAGAAAAACCGAAGAACATACCAGTGGACTCACATTTGAGGCTGAAATGGTAAGAAGATGTTATCAGGCAGCTCACATTCAATGTAGCATTTTTTCAGTGTGCCTGGATGTTGCCTGTACTAATTGGGAATTTCGGAAACTCCAGTTCCCGATGCCTTAGGTTTACTTCCAGTTTGGGCCAACCTGGCTTCTAGCGAACCGTGGGTTCGCTTAATGGCCACAGCAGAAACGGTCATAAAATTGGGCCGGTCCATTTTAAACCATCATACCAGTGGTGGGTTCTGGGAAGTACGGCCTGGTACGGGCGTACCAGTGGTAGATGGGAGCAGCGGCCACAGTACTGGAATGGTGGCTTGTTCGGCCCACCCGCCTGCCTGCATTCCTTACTGCTTTTTATTTATTTTATTTATTTATTTAATTAGCTTGTATGCCGCCCACTCTCGGAAGACTCAGGGCGGCTTACAAATAAAAAGGGAAGGGGGGATATAAAAAAATAAAACAACAATTAAAAATTCAACAACATTCATAACTTAGGATGGGGCTGGATAAATCAACAGCCCCAGGCCTGCCGGAACAGCCAGATCTTGGTCGCTTTGCGGAAGACCGGAAGGGTAGTAAGGGTCCGGATCTCAATGGGGAGATCGTTCCATAGGGCTGGAGCAGCTACAGAGAAGGCCCTCCCCCGGGGGAGTCGCCAGCCGACATTGACCGGCAGATGGAATCCGGAGGAGGCCTAGTCTGTGCGATCTAATAGGTCTCTGGGAGGTAATTGGCAGGAGGCGGTCTCTCAGGTACCCAGGTCCGATACCATGTAGGGCTTTAAAAGTAACGACTAGCACCTTGAAGCGTGTCCGGAGACCAATGGGAAGCCAGTGCAGCTCGCGGAGGATAGGTGTAACGTGGGTGTACCTAGGTGCACCCACAATCGCTCGCGCAGCTGCATTCTGGACTAGCTGAAGTCTTCGAACACTCTTCAAGGGCAGTCCCATGTAGAGCGCGTTACAGTAAATTTGATGCAAACAGGCCAATTGCGCATGCACGCACAGCGTGCGGCACCTGCATGACCTCCGCCGAGCAGCTGAGTGTCGCTGGGCGGTGGTGTGTGCATGTGTGCCCGACGAGGACGCCCGGCCTCATTGCAGGGTACCGGTTGCAACAGGATCCGGAACCCACTACTGCATCATATGACCAAAATGAGCAGGCTCCATTATGGTCATAACTCGAGGATTATCTATGTATCTAGCATCTGCAAAATACCAATGGCTCTCCTACCTGATAAAACAACAGCCTCAATCCAGCTGAAAAGTTCTAATTTGGGGACAGCTAACTGTGATTTCCAAAGGGATAACTTTAAATATCCTTGAGACATATTTTTCCAAATATTGTTGCATTTGCAAAAACTATACCTTAGTACCATCACGTTGAAAAGGTTTTTTTTAAGCTGTCTCACATTCCTTCACTCCTTCACCTCTGCATCCAATTGATATTTGTTCCCTGGCTACTTAATTAAGTCAAAGATGACTCCCTATTTGAAGAGAGATGGGATTAGGAGCCCGGTGGCGCAGTGTTTAAGTTAAAAGTGCAGTATTGCAGGCAAACTCTGCTCACAGCCTGACGTTCGAACGTGACCTGCTCAAGGTTGACTCAGCCTTCCATCCTTCCAGTAAAATGTTGTTGGGGGTAAAATGCAAATAATGCTGTACGTTGTAAACCGTCCATTTAGTGTTATGGGGAAATAAAGATAAAGGTTCCCCTCACAAATATGTGCTAATCATTCCCAACTCAAGGGGACGGTGCTCATCTCCATTTCAAAGCTGAAGAGCCAGCGCTGTCCGAAGACATCGCCGTGGTCATGTGGCCGGCATGATTCAACGCCGAAGGCGCACGGAACACTGTTGCCTTCCCACCAAAGGTGGTTCCTATTTTTCTACTTGCATTTTTACACGCTTTCGAACTGCTAGGTTGACAGAAGCTGGGACAAGTAACGGGAGCTCACTCCGTTACGCGGCACTAGGGATTCGAACCACCAACCTGCCAACTTTTCTGATTGACAAGCTCAGCGTCTTAGCCACGGAGCCACCGCATCGCCAATTATGGGGCGGTATATAAGCCTAGATGCGATTGCTAAATGTTATTACAAAGAGCTTAGTGATTGGAGTTCAGTTCCAGGAAAATCTCAATCTGGACTTCTAAAATGGTAAATCAGAAGATGGTTGGAAGACTACTGAGTGTTTCCTGGTACTTCCTGGTGAAGGAGGAGGCTCACCGAGGCGTTCCCCGCTGTGACGGTGCCATCCTTCTTGAAGACCGTAGGGAGTTTTCCCAGTTGCTCCACCGTGGCATCCGGCCGGGGGTGTTCATCGCGTTCCAAGCTCTGTTTGCTCTTCTTAACTTTCACTTCAATGGGGGCCATCTCAGCCTTAAAATGTCCGGCTTCGTGAGCTACGAATGTAAAAAAAAAAAAAAAAGTCTATTATGATTGTATATGTATACTGCTATTTTTTCTTTGTTATGTATACTGAAATGGAATTATAAATACCATCAACACAAAAGGGAGTTTGCTCAGAAGTTGAAATACACCAAGTGCTCTTTTTCTCTAGTGCCTAAAGGTGAAGGTAAAGGTTCTCCTCGCACATATGTGCTAGTCGTTCCTGACTCTAGAGGGCAGTGCTCATCTCCGTTTCAAAGCCGAAGAGCCGGCGCTGTCCGAAGACGTCTCCGTAGTCATGTGGCCAGCATGACTCAATGCTGAAGGCGCACGGAACGCTGTTACCTTCCCACCAAAGGTGGTTCCTACTTTTCTACTCGCATTTTTTACGTCCTTTCGAACTGCTCCGTTGTCAGAAGCTGGGACAAGTAACGGGAGCTCACTCCGTTATGCAGCGCTAGGGATTCGAACTGCCGACCTGCCGACCTTTCTGATCGACAAGCTCAGCATCTTAGCCACTGAACCACCGCGTCCCTAACTAATGCCTAATTTTCCTCATAAAAGATAATCCCATCAACCTAATCCTCAACTTGAGTTTTAAGAAACACAATCCAGATGTCAACTGCTGTGAGAATTAAGTTTCCATGGGAAGCAGATCGGTGCTCTTCCATTAAACATACTGACCAGCTTTCCACCTCTGTTGTGTCTTGACGGCATAGCGATCACACTCTTCTCTGGTAATATTGTATTTTGCAGCAAGATTTTCAGCTGTGACACCCATGGGAGTCTGGATATGCGCATCGGTTAGACCTGACCACAATATGTCTTCCAGCTGCCAGAAAAGAGGGGACAGAATCATGTTATAGGTTAATGTTTCTAAAAGTGCATATAATCAATGCTATGATTTTCCCAGTCGGATGGATGGCTGTGAAAGTTGGTCCATAATAAAGGCTGAGCGCCAAAGAATGGAGGCCTTTGAACTCTGGTGCTGGAGAAGACTCCTGCGAGTCCCTTGGACTGCAAGGCGATCCAACCGGTCAGTCCTAGAGGAGGTCAACCCTGACTGCTCTTTAGAAGGCCAGATCGTGAAGAGGAAACTCAAATCCTTTGGCCACCTAATGAGAAGGGAGGACTCACTGGAGAAGAGCCTAATGGTGGGAAAGATTGAGGGCAAAAGAAGAAGGGGACGACAGAGAATGAGGTGGCTGGATGGAGTCCCTGAAGCAGTCGGCATGAGTTTAAATGGACTCCAGAGGATGGTAGAGGACAGGAAGGCCTGGAGGAACATTGTCCATGTGGTCGTGATAGGTTGAATACGACTTTGCAATTAACATCAACAACAAGACTTCATCTCCCAGAATTCCAGAGTCACCTGTCCATAAGTCTCACCTGCTACCTTCCAGATCTGGGAGAGCAACTATCACAATGAAGAGCTGGCATGACAAAATGTGGTTGGGAATTATGGGATCTTTAGAAGGCTGGGAAAGAATGCCCAAATCACACAGACACACACACAGACATAGACACACACACACACACAAAGACCCACACAAAATTGCACTGCAAGCTGTGGGTTTTCCGAACATTCTTAGAGTAAGCACAGAATTCTCAAAATGGACGTACCTGCAAAATCGTACGTGCGGGATTTGTCCCCTATCCTAAAATCTAAAGTTCTGAATGTTACTCTTACTTATTAAAGTGTGGGGAAGGGGAGTGGAAATGCTTTGAAGATTATGAGAATCTCTGCAGAAATGCCTTTAAATTGGCTTTCTCACCTTACAGATGGTTTTCAGATTTCATTTGTACTTTTTGCCTCTGGTCCCAAAAGAAGAGAGAGCAGAAACTTGGATAGCGGCCAGAAGTACTTTTCCCAACATAAAATTAAAGAAACTGCCAATTTGGGGAAATATTTTCCCCTCAGACAATCCGGCAGTGCTGTCCCTTGTGGGATTGGGGGCAGATTTAAGTTCCCCACCCGACAAGGCCCCTCTCTTCATTGGCCTTATCTTATCACTGATGTTTCTATAGCTTTGCTAAGAGTTTCTCAACTTGGCCACTTTAAGATGGCTGGACTTCAATTCCCAGAATTATCTGAGAGAGTAAGGCTTTTCCATACCTCTGCTTCCCTAAAGCTGAGGCTTTGCCTTCGAATGCTGGGTTGGGAAAAGAGGAGAGGACAATTTGGCATTTGGGGTTGTGTGACCGGAAGGGGATAGTGCTTTTAAAGGGGTTTAAAACCCTTTTTTGTGGCAGAGTCGGATAGTGAGGAGGTTGGGGAAGAACATGGGCCAGTCCTGGAGACTGAGGAAAGCTCAAACGAGGGCTCTGCGTCAGAGGCAGAGAGAGAGTTAGACAGCAGTGAGGCTGGAGCCTGTTCCCTGTGTGCGCATGCCAGTGGTGGGTTTCAAAATTTTTTGGAACCTACTCTGTGGGTGTGGCCTCCTTTGTGGGAGCGGCTTGCCGGCCATGTGACCTGGTGGGAGTGGCTTGCTGGCCATGTGTTTTCTTTTTTTCTTTCCCTCTTTCTCTCTCTCTCTTTTTCCTTCCTTTTGTCCCTCCGTCCCTTTTTTCTTTTTTTCTTTCATCTCTCTCTCACTCTTTTTCTTTNTTTCTGTATCTCTTTATAATTTTTTTAAAATCACTGTTAGAATTTTTCTTGAGAGAAAAGATCAACCAAACAAATAAAGCAAGCAAGCAGATTTGGAAGTGAAGATAACTTATTTAAATATTAGTTTCATTTATTTCGTTAATAATGGCTTGGCAACTAAATAGAATCAGCTTGTTCCGGGCTGAACTGGCAACCTGAATGTGCAGTCAGGGAGATTTTAAGGGCAAAGTTGTTCCAGAGAGAGAGAGAGAGTGCCTTTTCTTCTTATTGAAGATTATTTTATGCTTTTAAACTTACTGTAAAAATGTTTTAAATTTGTTTTCTAACATATAAGCTACTGATATTCAAATGTCGTAATGCAGGGGTGTCAAACTCAAGGCCCTGGGGCCGGATCCAGCCCACGGGGCACTTAGATCTGGCCCATGGGACTGGCCTGGAAATAGCGAACAACTGGCCCATGGGGCTTATGCCAGGGAAAAGAGGCTCCCAAGCTCCATTTTTGGCTGCCACGGCCTCCTGCAACCCTCTGCTAGTGAAAACGGAGCCCCAGAGGACCGCATGCCCCTCATAGGAGTGACGTTCAGGTGACCATGGCCATCCTGGCACCACGAGGTGAAACACAACCCTGATGTGGCCCTCAATGAAATCAAGTTTGACCACCCCACCGTAATGTGTCTCTTCCTATAAAGATCAGAATCGCGGAAACCATGTTATTCTCGGTGGCTAACCATTTTGCCATCGCATGCCCAAAGTGGAGGTGGCGCGAGGGTTTGTGTGCAGGCGTGCCCACGCCCATAATTCTACATGATGGACCCGTTTTTCACCCTCTCTAGGCTCCAGAGGTTTTCTGGGAACCTGGGGAGGGTGAAAATGGTCTCTCCCACTCCCCGAAGGCCCTCTGGAGGCTTCCTTGAAGACTCCAGAGGGCGAAAAATGGCCCTACGGGCAACCCGGGAGTCTGTTCCCAAACTTCCGATTTGCACATTGGGCAGTTTGTCACCCTCCGGAGACTTCCCCAAAGCCTCTGGAGGGCACAAAACAGCCAAAAATGAAGGCCGAAGTCAGCTGGCGCGGACTGGATCTGACAGGGCAACGCCTCGCGCGCCCTAACAAACGGCTCCATCTTGCACCTGTGGCACACGTGCTATAGGTTCGCCCATCACAGCTCTATGGAAACCAAAGTTGGACTTTTGAAGGAGCAGGAGAGGAAGAATATCGACACATTTGAAATTGGGTGTTGGAGAAGGCTCCCGAGAATATCGTGGATGGCCAAGGAAACAAGGAAATGGATTGCTGAACAAATCAGTCCAGAGTTCTCACTTCAGGCACAAACGACCAGGCTCCAATTATCCTACTTTGGAACACTTTATGCGAAGATTTAGCAGTCTCCGGAAAAGGCTGCCAAGGGTTCTTGCTGCTCTCTGAGCTTTTTTGTTGTTGTTGCAGACATTTCATTACCAAACTAAGTAACATCATCAGTCCTAGTAAGGAGTGGGGATTGCTCTGAGTTTATATTCTAGTGCAGGGGTGTCAAACTCAATTTCATTGAGGGATGCATCAGGGTTGTGGTTGACCTCGGGAGGGGGGCAGGGTGGGTGTGGCTGGGGTGGGTGTGGCCAGGATGGGAGTGGCCAGGATGGGAGTGGCCACCATGATGTCACTCATGCTGGGGGGGCCTGTAGCCGGCCGAGCACTCTGTCTGTGAAAATGGCCCCCCATGCAGCCCCCCTGAGCTCTGTTTTTGCTGGCGGAGGGCTGCAGGAGGCCGTCACAGCCAAAAATGGAGCCTGGGATGGCCCTCCCGAGCTCCTTTTTCGCTGGCAAAGGCACCTTGGGCCGGCCTTTCGCTGTTTCCAGGGCGGCCCGCGGGCCAGATCTAAGCACCCCGTGGGCCGCATCTGGCCCATGGGCCTTGAGTTTGACACCCCTGTTCTAGTGGCATGTCCTGTCAATAGAATAGAGAGCAATCCCCATTCCCTTCCAGCACTGATGTTACAGTACCTAGTTTGGGTAATGAAACATGTCCAAGGGGGAAAAAAAAGTAAGATCAGAGCACATCAAGGACCCCTAGGAATATTCTCCTTTAAAAGCTGTTATGCTGTGAAAAGTGGAAGAGAAGAACAACCAGCGGTGAAGTGGATATACTCAGTTGCAGTAGTGATGGGGACACAATCAAATGACCTAAAAGGACAGGTGAAGCTCAATTGATCATCCTCACTTTGCTTTAGTAGTTCAGTCACAGTTCATTTAGTCATCATCATCATCAACATCTCCTTTTAATGACCCCATAATCCCTTGCGGGTGGAGTCTGGGCAACTGAATGGCGCTACCAGACTGTTTTAATGGCCAGATGCCCTTCCTGTTGTCAATGCGGAGTTTTGTTCAGCATGCATTCTCAATGTGGCCCGAGAGAGAAATATCTGCCTCTACCTAGGATCGAACTCACAGCCTCCTGATTGTGAGGCGAGAGCTCCACCTCTAGGCCCACACCACTCCACCGCACCACAGTTCATTTAGTGACCATTCAAATTACAACAGAACTGGGGGGGGGGGAAATGACTATTTTTCACACTCACGAATGACCGTTGCAGCATCTCCATATACATGTGATCCAAATTCAGATGCATGGCAACTGCCTCGTATTTATGACAGTCGCAATGTCCCAGGGTCATGTTGCGACCTTCCGACAAGCAAAGCCAATGGATTCACTTAACAACCGTGTTACTAAGTTAATGACGGCAGCGATTCTCTTTAACAACCGTGGCAAGAAAGGTTGTAAAACGGGGCAAAACTCACTTAACTGCTTCGCTTAGCAATAGAAATTTGGAGCTGAATCGTGGTCGTAAGTTGAAGACTACTTTATATTCTTCAGAATCATCCGAGTGACACTCTTAAAGGAGAAAACTTTACANGGGGGGGGGGGCGCTTTTTCAGGAAACAGTTTGTTCATCCAATTATTTGGAAACTAGTTATTTGGCAGCTTGCCAAACAAGATAAGGTTCCTGCTGATAAACATTCCTTGGAAAGACTGTTTGTGAAGCCTTGAGGACTGTGAATGACAGGAAGTCACAGTCATGTAAATAAAAGGGGTTTTGCTGGGACTAAGACTCTGCTTCTTGTTTTTTTAAGGAAGCCTGGGTCACAACACCTTTTGGTCTTTTGTATGTGTTGGATAATAGCTGATGAGTTTTTTTCTATAACATACAAGGCCCTTCAGATGTTTTAAATAAATAAAGATACACCATTCATGTTGCCCCTTCTCCACTAATGTATGCCAGTGAGAATTGGCAAAGAGGAAGGGAGTAAGAGAATATATTAGAACAGTGATTTACTGGAAAAAAGTACAGGTAATCCTCGACTTACAACAGTCCATTTAGTGACCATTCAAAGTTACAACTTACACTTGCGACCACTGCAGCAATCTCCAGGGTCACATGATCAAAATTTAAAAGCTTAGCTAAAGAGAGGCTCATATTTATGTTAGTTGCCGTGTCCCTTCTGACAAGTCAACGAGGAATCCGTATTCCCTTAACAACGGTGGCGAGAAAAGTCGTAAAATGGGGCAAACCCCACTAACAAATTTCACTTAGCAGCATAAATATTGGGCTCAATTGTGGTCGTAACTTGAGGACTACCTGTATTAGCAAGAGGTTAATAACACAAAAGGAGGCAACATTTTGTCCTGGGTCTGTACATTTTTGATCTGTTCCATGAAAGGCTAAGTGCTGACTTCTGAAGGAGAAAGGTTGGGCCTATCTACTGTAGGCCGCAATGCACAAATATTTTATTTTAGGAATTGTACACATGTTTAAAAGGTAATGACAGCAGCTGATAACACATGATCTGAATCAAGATCACGTGAAGTGTTAATACCACTTTATAATGCCTGGGTAAGGCCACACTTGGAATCCTGCGTTCAGTTTTGGTCGCCACGATGTAGAAAAGATGTGGAGACTCTAGAAAGAGTGCAGAGGAGAGCAACAAAGAGGATTAGGGAACTGGAGACTAAGACATATGAAGAACGGTTGCAGGAACTGGGTAAGTCTAGTTTAATAGAAAGAAGGA